AAACGGTTCGAGGTTAGTCAGTTTTCGGTCTCTCTCTATCCCTCTCTCTCTCTCTCTCGCCGCAATACAATCTGCACATTGAAACCGTGTGAATAGAGACCTGTACAGCCGCTTTCGCGACAAAATTGGCCTTTTTGACAAACACTAACCGTATTCCCTGAACTGCTCGCCATCTCTGGCCTCCGACTAGGACAGCACACTTCCTCACTGCCTCCAAATAGATCGTTTCATGAATTTCTAATCCCTCCGCCCTCTCCCTCCGCCCCACCATGCATACTTGGCAGCCCTTTTGACCACAACAGCGCGCCTCCACTTTTTTCATCTGGCTCCAGGAGAATTCCTTCGGGCGCGTTGGCTTCTTCCCCATCCGTCGCTCGGCCCAACGGCTCTCCTTTACGAACTGTTACTGTTAAAGAAATGAGACCGCCGCGCCGCTTCATGCAGCGCCAAGTGTACGTCGACAACCGGTCGACGTTCTCCGAGGAGTTCGACTCGCTGCGGGACCCGGCGTGCTATATCGCAAACTTGGTGATCGCTCCCGGGCGGACGCCGTCGGTGGCCGAGATCATGCGCATGGGGCTGATCGGCCGGAAGAAGGTAGCTGCATGAAAAATAAGCTGAAAAATATGGAATTTTTGGGCTATGTTTTGCACAAAAAAAAGTGAAATTGGCTCACATGCGGCCCGAAGGGCACATATGGCTTTGATGTGACCCGAGAATTGGCCCGGCAAAAATTTATGAGGGGCCTCTCCGCGAAAAACTTATTGGGCAATAACCACAACCGCCAAGTGTCATGGGGAAATTGGGGGAGTTCTGGGAATTTTTGGATACGGTTTTAAACTACGTTTTTTTAGCCAAGCGAAAAGCTCTTGCTGCCCCCGATCCGTCAGCGTGACATCAACAAGAAGTGTCTGGTGATCGACTTGGACGAGACATTGGTCCACTCGTCGTTTAAGGTATCCGCTTGAATTACCTTAAAATCGCTTGAAAGTACCTGAAAAAAATTTAGTAATTCCGGGAGAACCCGAATTTTTACGTTACGCTATTTTACATTATTTTTACGAATTATTTATAGAAAATCGTAGCAAGTGTATTGTATTTTTGGTAAATTTAGCTCTATTTGAGGTCTGATAATAATTTGGATAACTTTAAAGGTGCTTAAAAATAAGAATTTTTCTGGGAATTCGACCGATATTAATCAAAATTTATTTCTATTGTATTATTTTTCCCATTTCAGCCAGTGAAAAATCCGGACTTTGTCATCCCGGTCGAGATAGACGGCTGCATCCACCAGGTCTATGTGCTGAAGCGCCCATTCGTCGACGAGTTCCTTGCCCATGTCGGGGAGAAATACGAATGTATCTTGTTTACCGCCAGTCTTGCCAAGGTGAATCATCAGTTTTCTATTTTGGGGTGCTTGCGGAACGTAAAATTTGTTTTGATTTTCGAATTAGTAAATTTCTTGATTAATCTTTTAAACGATTAATTTTAGTACGCCGACCCTGTTTCTGACCTCCTCGACAAGCGCAACGTGTTCCGGTCGCGGCTGTTCCGCGAGGCCTGCGTGTTCCACAAGGGAAACTACGTGAAAGACCTGGCTCGGCTCGGGCGTGACCTGAACAAGACGTTGATCATGGACAACTCGCCGGCCAGCTATGCATTCCACCCTGAAAATGCTGTAAGCGTTTTATAAAAAACTGATGTGTTTTCGATGAAAATTAAGATAGTTAAAATTTAAATTCTATTTTTAATAGTAGAGGGGCAAATGAAATTGGATTCTGAATAACGTATATTTTCCAGATCGCCGTCCAGACGTGGTTCGACGACCCGCACGATTCCGAGCTGCTCGAAGTTTTGCCGCTTTGGATCGGTTAGTATTATGAAATTTGAGCAAATATAATTTGTTAATCGTATTATGGAATTTATTTTATTTCACTTATGAAGCTCAAAAATATATAATCCTTTATTTTTAATAGATTGAATAAATATTATTAATAATATTTATTTTTTGCAGGCTTGCCGACTGCGAATCCGTGTACACCGTACTGCGGCGGAGCGAATCCCCGGATCCCCGATCGGAGCGCAGCTCATCCTGATTCCGCGACATATCCGGCCCACACTGACCGGCCAATACATTACTGTACTTTACTTTCCAAATGACGAAGAAACCCGAGTATGTACATGTCCCCCTCCACCCTCGTCCGATTTATGAATCCCGGTTTAGCGCCTGTAAACAATATTTTTGTTTTATCTTTCTTTTTACCCACTTCATTTCATGTGGCCTTGTCCCAGCGAACGGGTGCCCATTCCTCTGACTTTCCCCTTGCCGGGGTAGGCTTCTTACTATGTTCAATCTTGCGTTGTCAGGTTCCGCCCCGGAATATTTTACTATTTTGCCTTTCCCACTACTTTAGACCACCTACACCACCGTTTAGAACCACGACCGAGTCACACCTTTTATTGTTTCAAAAGTATTTCACCCCCGGAGATGTATTCTTATTTTTCTCGTCCATCACCCGGTTTCTCCTAGATTTCTATATGGCACTTTATACAATTTCTATATATTTAGTCGACGCTAGTCATCCTCCCCAATGGCGAGTCAATGCTATTGTATCGAGCCCGTGATTCGCTTGTATCCCCCGGTGGTCATTTCAATCACCCCTCTTTAGAATTCTATAGCAGGTTTGCTTACAATTTTTGAAAATCTTTCCAAAAAGTTGTATTTTCGACCTCAATTTTTCGAAAATTAGAATTTTGGAAGAATTTGCCCCCAGCCAGCAATAGGAAATGGCCTAAACGAATATGAAATATCAATGCAAATTTTTCGAAATTCTCAATTTCGAAAATATGACTTTTTGTAAAAATACGTTTGGAAATATGATTTTCGAAAAATGATCGCTCGCCGCCCTCCCTCCATTTTCCCAACAGCCATCCCTACTTTTCGGTGAATTGTCGTGTCTTGATGATGATAATGTTTGCTCACAAGTGTAGCCCCTGGTTTTGTAGTCCGGAATTTTAAATGTTTCCTGTTGAAAATTCTACGTGAAACCTAGGTCTGCGCGCTTCCCAAATTTTCTGCAAACTGTGATCCGTTAGATGGGGTTGCACCGGCGGGAGCCGGCTTTATCACCTCCGGTTTCCGGCCCGGCCGTTACTATCCACAAAATTCGCCTATCCACATTGTAGCGGCTACCTTTCCTCCTCTTCTCTCATGTGCCTTGGGCCATCCCCCTCCCCCCCCCACCCACCGATTCCCAAAGATTTCTATTGCCCTGTTGCACGCCCAGTTTTTTTTGTGTGCAAGAGACTGATTGTTTGAATTTTATTGTAGTCTATAACAGCCCCATGAAGAAATGAACTGTTTGATTGGACTGCTCTCTCGATTCGAAACTTACCCATCCCCGTATTGGACAATTGTTTGCCCCCAAGCCCCCCACTTTCGCTTGACACGTTTAGACACTAATAAACTTTACAAAATTTATGTTTTGAGGGAGATCGCACACGAGTTGGGTATATTGAAAGAGGTCGTAGAGATGCGGATGTTTGAGAAATTATCGACATTTTCGGTTTTTCGCATTACGGGGAACAAACTTTTTTCTTAGTCTTTTTCCTAATATAGAGCGGAGCTGTTTCTAAATTGTTCTGATTTTCTATTCATTAGCATAAAAACTCTGCAAAATTGTGTTAATATGGTGTTGTGTTAAAATATCAAAAATATAGAGTTTTTCGACCAGAAGTTTTTATTTTTTGTTTTTATTTTTATTTGTTTTTATTTTATTTTTATTAATCTGGTTATTTTTACTAAAAAGACTTCCAACTCTTAGTAAGAGTCTCTTACTATTTAGTTAATAGGCATTTCTAGGCTTCTACCAAAAAAGTTCGGTCCCCCGATAATGCCAAAGAACCAAATTTTGCAGAAATGACTAAAAAAGAAATACAGACATACGGCAATAGAATTTGAATATTCTGCGGTATCTTTTTGAGCTGAGACCTTGGCTAGGAAAAATCGTCAAAATCAGCTAGCTAATTTGTATATATGATGGCAAATACGACTACGCCACAATAAAATCCGACCACTTCGAAGGTACCTGCACGGATTTATTGTATTTCTGAAAATCCTGCTGAGAGTCACAATCAATAAATAAATACATATACCTCCATTTACACCGTAACCTTGCCGCATCTATTGAAGGGGTGAATAGGCTACGCCTCGGTGTGGAGATGAGAAAATTGGCGCCCGCCGGCTGGAGGGTGTGCGCATGAGCCGGGAATTGCGCTTCCGATCGGCTCAACCATCCGCCCGAAGCGCACAGTTCGGCCCGGGGGGCGCTTCACCCGGATTAATTGCCTCCCAACCCCGGCTGGGGTGTTCGTTTCGAGGCTTATGCTCTGGAACTGCCTAGAACTTGATGAATTTTTTGATTTTTTTCAGAGTTCAGCTTTATATATAAAAAGAATGTAATGAAAAACATGATTTTACCAGATAATCTGAATTTTTAATCGAAGCATCTGGATCTCAAGTATTTATAATCTTTTAAATAGTTTTTTACGCAACGTTACGTTACGTTTTTAAATTTTAAGGCCCGTCCCAGACACATTCGATTGACTCATCGAAACCCCCAGCCAATTTTCGTTGATTGTATTTACTTGGAGCTGTGGAGGCGTTTTTGACAGGTCTGCAAAGAGAACTGCGCTCTGTCCCTCAAGGGTTTTTTTGAGCCGGGCCTTGTGTCGAACTTTCTTTTTTGGGTCTTATTTGGCCTGCCCCGACCGACTTAAGAATAGAAAACGCATAAAATCTTAAAAATCTTGCAGAGTCTGTCGCTCCGGCAAAATTCAGAAGTTTTTATTTGTTTGAAGTCCTGGCTTTTCAAAAAGCTACGTGCGCGACCGCGTTAGTCCGTATGTCATGGGCCGTGTAGATTTTTACCAGCGACCCCGCAGCTGTTTGGTCCCGCTTTCTCCCGTTCTAGATAGCTGTGAAAATTTCGCTAAATGTTCTACTAATTTTTCTAACCCTCCCTTGTGAATAATTCCTAACCCGGGCCATGGAGAAGCAACGGGACATTGTGATCAATTATCGAGGCGACTCGCCGCCGCGGGACCCCGTGGCAGCGGCTAGACCTCCTTGACTCTGGCTGGCTGGCTGTTGTGGATGTGTGTCTGTCTGTATGTGTGTGTGTGTGCGCGCTGTGTAATAGCCGTCCCCTCACGCCTAACCCTTCGGCCATTTTCATGAGGCCTCAAAAAGATGTTGTTCCGCCGGACGGGCGTGTCGAAAGAAGCCCACAGCTGATCGGGGCCGATAGGCTGGTTATAGGTTGGACGTGAAAAGTTGGCGTTTGGTCTCGGGTTAAAAAAATGTAAATTATAACCCAAAAATTCCACGATTTTGTAGCTGACGCGCGGAAACCATGACACAACTACTTTGTAACATTCTAGAGCTTCTGAATAATCAAAAAAGCTTTCTAGCGGGGGACCTTTTTTTGTCAATAGCTTCTCTTACATTAAATTACATTATTTTGAGCTCTTTAAAATCGTTTATTATCTTTCTTGATGCTTTATCGAATAGCGTTAACAAAATGTCGAAAAATATAGAAACATCGATCCCGAATCCTGCCGAAACATCTCGAAACGTTGCCATTTTCAGGGTTATTTTCGCTTTTGTTACAACTTTCTTAAATCATTGTGTTTTGGTCTAGAATTAAAATTTTTAATAATATTTTATATTTTTTTGCTGCTATACCGGGTCGCGATGATGTAGTCCCCAAACCGCTAACGAATCAGTACCAGCTGGTTTTCAAAATTTTCGTTTCAGGTTTTTTGTAGCATTCTGTAGCTTCTTTGATAGCTTGAACAAGTAGCAGCGTGATTTTTGACCTAGCCGGAAGCGAAATCACCTAATTTTCACGAGAATACATTCTCCTGAATGCCGTGTGGAACTGCTGCCAACGAATTTCCGGGCACCCGGTTGGAGTGGTCGGGGATGGCTTCTGTGGCCCAGGGAGAGGGCCCGAGCTTTCGAGTGCCCTCAACAGATTTCGTCGCAAGAATTGACTGATCCCATCCCTCTTCGCCGATCCGGGCGGTCGGGCTTTGGCTCATCGGATTATTGATTTTTTTGGGGTAATTTTTTGTTGATTTTAAAGCTAGAATTTTGAAAACAGAAAAATTCGATTTTTGAATCCGGCCAAACTGATTTTTTTGAGAAATTCGAAAGCTATAAAATTCAGGTAAGGTTTTCCGAATTTGCTTTATCAACCCGACCACTTGTTCATACGTAAATTGCGTAATTTTTGGCTGGTTTCCGAGTTGGAATTTGAATTTGATAAAACTCGATTTTTCAACCATTTTAATTGATTTTTGAAAATTAATCCGGGCGCTATAAAATTAAGCCAAAGTCCCCCCCCCCTGGCCACTTGTTGATGATCAGCCAGCCAAAACAAATCGATTCGCGACGAGTTCGAGCGCCGGGGCCCTGACTCTGTCGGCCGCCGGCGCCACCGGGCTTTACACCCCCTCCGGAAAGATTTTGGGTGGCCGGCCAATGAGAGGAGGACGTTTCGGACGCACATACACACACGTGTCCTCCTCGCCCTTCCCGCACCAACACAACATTTACTCGAGTCTTGCTCGAGACAAGGGTTTATTACGATTTGGGGGTTGTTTAAAGGGACCGGGAAAGATTTTTTGAGCGTCAGAATTTTCTGAAATTGTCAATTCCCGTTGTCTCAGTTAAAACGAGAACTTAGTTAGTTACTTAGTTTTGATATTTTTCGACTTTCACACATGAATTTGGCGAGACCCACGACACGCAACGCACCGTTCCGGGTTCTAACACGCTACGAATTAGCGCTCTTCATGCGGCGCGT